AGTTTGAACTGTTGAGACAGCAGCAGGCTGCTGCTGGTGGGTCGATGCACTCGCGTCGACCCGAGACTTTGAAGATTGACATCTCCAAGTATAGGGGGGTCGAAGAAGACTCCCTCTTGAGATGGTTCGTCGAATTGGATGACGCCATAAGGGCGCGTCGCATCGACGACGGGGATATGCAAGTTGCATTTGCCCAGTCAAATCTGGCAGGACGTGCCAAGACTTGGGCACTGGGGCTCAAGTTGCATGACCCATATGCGTTTGGGTCGTTGGAAGTCTTCAAGTCGCGGCTCAGACAAACGTTTGAACCGCCTAGAGCTGAGTTCAGAGCTCGAACCGAACTCTTGAAGCTCAAGCAGGGTAAGCGTGATGTGCACGCTTACGCGCAACATATACGACATCTTACGAGTTGTATAAGTTCCAATCCGGTGGATGAACACACGTTGGTTTCGGTGTTCATGCATGGTCTTGCGGATGGTCCCGTCAAGACTCACCTGTTCCGGCTTGAACTAGATTAACTAGAACAAGCCATTTCCATTGCGGAGCAGGAAGACTTCAGTCTGAGACAGGCTCGCGCAAGCTCGACAACGTATCGTCAACCGAGACGATATGACAGCGGAGGTCCAGAGCCGATGGAACTCTGTTATGTAGAGAGCGAGAAGGCTCGCTCTACAGGCTACAAGAAGTTGCATAGATGCAACAGATGTCAAAAGACAGGACACTACGCTTACGAGTGTAGTGCCCCTCGTCCAGTGTCTCGCGACACTGGGCGTAGTGACCGTCCACCCATGAGAAAGGGGCAGGGACGAGGGTCCGCTGTTAGTGCAAAGACGCAACAACGGGATCGACCGTCAAAAAACGGACAGGATCAGTAGGTGCGGAGCACCCTACTGGTCCAGCAATGCAATAAAATTTGTAGGCCTCTTGATGAAGGTTGCTCCCAACACACAAACGTTGTGCGTTGCTGCTCTAGGTAATGAGATCTCACTCATTACCTTGAAACTCGAAGTGACGAATAAGTTGTCCCTTCGAGCTCTAGTCGATTGTGTGGCGTCCAACAATTTTGTGCGACGCCAATCGCTAGAAGATGGTCACTTTAAATTCATTGAATGTGACACACCTCCTACGAGGATGACCGTACGTCTTGCGACAGGCGCATCCGTATCCGTCATGAAGCGTATATTGAAGATCCACTATACCCTAGAAGATACCCAATATGACGATGACTTTATCGTATTGGAATTGGATGACAAATGTGATGTCATCCTTGGAATTTCGTGGATCAGAAGGTACGAACCACGGGTTAACTGGCAACATCGAACAGTAACGATGCCTGCCGCTTGTTCATCAGATTGCCATCTGATGAACGTTTTGGAGCGTCCACAAGCGTGTGGATGTACTACGAGTGAGTGCGATGGCCTCACTTGTGGTACGGTCGTTAGTACGACTGCACAAAACCTTAGTGTACCAAACAATTACACTTCGGAGTAAAGTTCCGGCGGCTGTGAGGAAACACAGGCTGCGCCGAAGGTCCACCACTCGAATAAGTCGAGTGGACTGGGACAAAGATGTATCCCTAGCGGGGAACATCTAGAAGAGAAACAATCGATCGCTCAGGTTAAGCGAAACGATAATCCTAGATCGACTGGAGAGTCTTTCGTAGAGGATCTCGCTGTGGTTGCGCAACCCCAGCTAGAGGAAGTAAAGGGAATAAGTCCCAAGATTACAAACGCAGCGGAAATAAGTTCCCCGAAACCCGCGGGAATAAGTCCCCGGGAAACCGAAGGACTAAGTCCTTCGAAGCCTGAGGGAATAAGTCCCCAGGAAATGACAGAGACATTGAATGTCATAGTCAATAACGGATCAAGTGTAGGCGCTTATACACTTGATCTGATTGCGCCTCCGAAGTTAACTTCGGAGATCACGCAGTTGCCAACGCTCGAACATAAAAGGTTCTTGCGTTATCTGCGTAGTGGCAAAGTCAAGCAGATCTGCATACTCGTCGCTGACGACGAGTGTGTAACCGACATAAGGTCAGCAACAGTGTTCACTGAGAACGAGAGAGTTCTCAGTAGTTCATCTATGGACGAGAGTGTCCTAGATGAAAAGACACGAGTTGAGCGATATGACTCTCAATCGTGGGAATCGCTCAAGAAAAATCCTCTCTATGAAGATTTGGTTGAATTCAAGGATGTATTTCCTGAAACTGTTCCGTGCGAATTACCGAAGGATAAAGGTATTCGACACGAGGTCGAGCTTAAACCAGGCTCGAAGTACTGTGTCATGAAGCAGTGGCCACTGCCTCGTGAACAAGTACTTGAGATCGACAAGTTCTTTGCCGATCGTTTAGCTGCGGGCCATGTGAGGGAATCAACTACCCCACATAGCTCTCCGACTATCTGTGTGCGAAAAGCAACAGGAGGGCGGCGGATAGTGCATGCATTTAACAAATTGAATGCTGCAACGGTACCGGCTCAGACGCCGATACCGAGGAAGGACGCAATCATTGATGGTATGTCAAAGAGTACCATCTTTTCGTCCATGGATTTGATGGATGGCTTCTATCAAATCCTTATGCGAGAACGGGATATACCCTATACCGCAGTTAGCACGCCTAGCGGCATGCTCTGGGAATGGCTAGTAATGCCACAAGGGCTTAGTAATGCCCCTGCCACGTTCAACAGATGTGTATCACATCTGTTGAGACCAGTACGAGAATTCGCGCCGAGTTATTTCGATGACGTATTCATCCATAGTCGAGCTATGAATGGAAAGTCGGACGTTGAGGTTCACTGGTACCACGTCCGACAGGTTCTTACAATCATGCGAAAGCATCAAATGTATGCAAACCTCAAGAAGTGTATATTTGCCGCAAGCGAAATACCACTTCTTGGGTGCAGCATTGGTAAGAACGGTGTACGTCCTGATCCCGAAAAGATCAAGGCGATCACCGACTGGCCTGTGCCGGTTGATGTCAAAGGTCTTCGAAAATTCCTTGGGCTAGCGGCGTATTTGCATAAGTATTCACGCAATTACGCCGAGATGACTGTGCACCTCTCTCGTTTGTTGAAAAAAAAAGAGAGGTGGTTATGGAACGCTGAATGTCAGCGCTCCTTTAATGATATCAAGCAGAGCTTGATACAATCCCCAGTCCTAGCAATAGCCGGTCAGGACAGGCCATTTCATGTGGTCTGTGATGCCAGCGATTTCGCAATCGGCTGTGCATTAATGCAGTACGATCTTGAAGGCGTTGAACGCGTCGTCTGCTATCAGTCGCGTCAGCTGCAACCAGCTGAGCGGAACTATCCAGTGCATGACAAGGAACTCCTTGCCATTAAATATGCACTCGCGAAGTTCAGAGTCTATCTATTAGGAGATAGACCCTTCATTGTTTACACTGACCATGCGTCATTACGCACGGCAGTGAACAGCCCGCACCTTTCACAACGAATGGAGCGGTGGTTGTCATTCTTTGCAGAATACAACTTTACGGTCGAGTACAAACCAGGACGACTTAATGTCGTCGCTGATGCACTCTCACGTCGTCCCGACTTTGAAACAGTCGCGAAACCCAACAGTGAGACAGTCACTGTTGCGGTTATGACGTCCTCAGTCCCATCTACAACGTCGTATGATGATGTGAGGCGGGCATACGCCCAAGATGGTGAGATTGTGAAGTTGTTGACACATCTCTCCCAACCATCCCGAGAATCGTTGAAACGATTTTCGTCTGCGTATCGATCTGCATCAGATCGATACACTACTCGTAACGGGTTACTGTATTATACAGCCGTTTCTGGTGACACACCACGTGTTGTCATTCCAGATGATACTGATCTGCGTTTGCGGATCATGTTCGATTATCACGATGCTCCTATAGGAGGACATCGTGGCCGAGAGAAAACATATCTCACGGTAAGTCAAGACTTTGGGGGTACTGGCCCCGCCAGTATCAGTTTGTGCGAAAGTATGTTCGCGCATGCGAAGTCTGCCAACGAGTGAAGTCAAGTCCTTCACTGCGTGCACCTTTACAGCCTCTACCGGTTCCGGCTGAGTGCTGGGAATCCATCTCAATGGATTTCGTCTTCGGTTACCCAAAGACGCACGCGGGAATACGGGTATTCTCGTATTTGTTGACAGATTCAGCAAAATGGTACACCTTGTGGCTGTACCAGAGACAATCACGGCAAGTGGCTGTGCTTGTGTCTTTATTGACACCATCTTCCGACTTCATGGGTTGCTCCGTGAACTCGTATCAGACAGAGATCCACGATTCACTGCTGATTTCTGGCGTTCCGTGTTTAAATCACTCGGAACGCGCTTGAAGATGTCAACATCTGATCATCCAGAGTCAGATGGTCAGACGGAACGTGCCAATCGTGTCCTTGAAGAGATACTTCGAGGATACGTACACTCCTTTAAGAGTTGGAGTGAGTTTTTGCCAATGGTAGAGTTTGCCATCAACAACTCGGTGCATGCGTCCACGACACATACACCGTTTTACGTGAATGGCTTGCGCAATCCGCGTGTACCCACCTTACTAGAGTGTAACTCTGGTTTAAGGGGGGGAGGGACTCGCGCGAGCAAAAACCGAATTGGTTCACGCTCATCACGCTCTGACGAGGAAGTCATTGCGTTTGATGCCGATGTCGATAACATCGATATCGAAGAAGATGATGCCAGTAAGAGTGCGGAAGCCCTCACTGAAGAAGATGATCCCAGTGAGAGTGCGGAAGCCCTCACTGAAGAAAAGATTGATGTTGCTGCAGTGCGCTCACAGCACACTGAAACTAAAAGAGTCATCAGATGAGTTCATACTGGCTCGTGAAACGGTAGTCCGTTTTGTGCAAGACTCCATCGCCGAAGCGGTGGACAAGCAAAAGCAAAACGCTGACAAGAATGGAAGGGCAAACACTCTTTTATTTAATAAAGGTGACTTAGTCCTACTGTCTACGGTTAATCTACCAAAGCATGTAGTGACTAACTTGGGTAGCAGTAAACTACTGCTCCAGTACATCGGCCCATTTCGTGTATTGCACCGCCTAGGCAATGCATACACGATCGAGTTGCCACGTAAGATGCGAACGCATCCCACGTTTTACGTTGGTCGGCTTAAGCCGTACCATCAGTACGCTGCTTCTTCCGATGAAGAACGCCCTTGCGCTCAAGCTCTCGCAGAGAGCCTTGTGCTCCCGATGGTGGGCATCAACAAGGGTCTGAAGAGCAGCTATCTCATCCCGAGACCGATCAGCAATCCCACGAGCTACCCATAGCTCGTCACGAAGAGATGTCAGAGATCTCTCGTTCTCAAGCTGAGCAAAGGCAAACTCAGCTCGATGCTTCGAGGCAGTGTCCGCCATTTGGAGACGCCTATTCCGCTCATGTTCGAGATCGTCGCGTAACCCTTGCGTTACGCGATCAAAGAAGCTCTCGGAACACACGGATCCCCACGATCGTGTGGAGAGCTTCTTTCCTCAGCCTCCACCTCCATTAGAGGACTCTCGCGGTGGCCAGCGCTATCTAGTTGAGCAGCTGTTGAACCACCGCGACGTGAACGGACGTCGGACGAGTTATCTCGTCCGGAGGCGCGGCTATCCCCCGTCCTGAAATTCTTGGGAGCCCCGCTCCCAACTGATGATCGACGTACTGGGTCTGGTTGAGCAGTACGACGCGGCACATCCTGTGCCGCAGAAGGACCGCCGGAGAAAGTCTTCCCGGCACGGTCGTAAAGGGATTTCAGGTTGTCAATCCCTTCGTACATCTCAGTAGAGACACGTACGCGCCACCACGGGCTGGTAAGGAGGTAAGCCTCCTTAGGTGCTCGTGCAGAGTTGTTCACACAACATGGGCACGAGTCTCCCCAAGAGAGGCAGAGTAATCCCTTCTCCCTTGACAGACGATGCAGCTTGTAGCGTGCACCTGTCGGGGTTCGCTTTTCAAACTTATCACGAGCTTTGATAAGTTTGTCGTTCCAAGCGTCACGACCTACATCCTCAAGGTTATGGATGTAGGCGTTCCACGCTTGAAGTAGCGAGGGACCATCACGCTTGTGATTCCCACTGTACCATCGATGTCTAAAGAAAGCATCGATGAAGAATTCATGTTCAGCGCGATAGTTTTTCGCGCTGGGGTCAAGGTGATGGATCCTTGACGAATCGAACAACCGTGTTCGATAACGATCACTCGTCGTCGCCGACAAGTGATTCATGACTGATTTTGGAGGCATCCATGCCTTCTTCTCAGGAGCGAGACGCAACACATTGCGGTCCCGCTCTTCCTGCGACGTGCCGACAGAAGTACTGGCACCTCGCTGTGAAGTGGTGTCCATAGGAGAACCGACACCACTATTAGCGCCCGAGTCTCGCGACCTCGAGCGCCTTCGCTTCGGCGATGGTTCATCTGACTCATCAGATGAACCAAAGATGCTGCGAAGCAAAGCAGTATTTATGCCACGCTTGGCAGGCGGCTTAGATTCAACCGCCTTCGATACGAATCCCTCTTCCGTATCAGGATAGCATGAGACACCGAGCTCATACTCTGTGAAGACATGAGTGTCTTCATGACGAGCGCCTGCATCACCAGGTGACACAGGCTGAGACGCTTCAGCAACCGATGAGACATCAGTTGCTGTGGTTACTGCTTCGGCGTCCGCACAGAGACGTGCGGACGCGCTCTCGGCGGCCTTGCTCGCGCATCGCATGGGCTTGTTTACCATGCGATGAGATGTTGGAAAGTGGACGCGGACCAACAAGTGCAAACCCCGTCCCAAATGATTCGGGACGAGTATCCATTAAGTCAATCAGTCACTAAAGTGACTGATGGTTAAGGGGGGTGATGTAACCGGGTGAATCGTTACGTAACAATTTATATGAAATTGTTACTAGGATATAACTGCAAGAGCTACATTCTCAGAATATTGTCATAAGGACAAATATTCTGCAGCACTTACGAGTAGTTCCTAATTGGTTGATATAGGCCATTATATCAACCAACGAAGACGCGCCACGACAGACGCACGCAATGAGTGGTGAGCAGATAATTGATTTACACATTTGTATTTAGACATAGTTAGATGAAGATAAATAGTGATTTATTGCAGACATTAACTATTATAAATACAGTTCTACTTTTTACTTTAACCAAGTACTCGCTTCTTCTTACCGTCTTCCTCTGCACGTACGAGTGTACGTGAAGTTACGAGGCACCGCCTTACTTTGTCGTCAGAGCAAGTAGCTTGTACTGTCACCAGTACAAGCTTCAAGGTGCCCCGTTACATTCATCCTAGCACATATTCTATTCATCTAACAAAACATCGCAGGGCTTATAGCTAAAATTTCGTACAACCCGAAGTTTAAGGCCATGCTGCATCCGTTGCTTTTAAATTTTCTTAGCTACTCTCGCCGTAAATTTGTGATACTACACATCATGTTCTTCTGCTGGAATTGTTTCGACTATCGACCAGAGAACCTAATGATGCCTTCAGGAGACTAAGATATTTTTGAAATATCTAGGACTAGACCTCGAATAATTACATTAAAGGATACGTTACCTGTTAAGCGTTAGAGAATCAAAGTTAACAGGTCTTCCTATATCTTCGGGTTCTAAGCATCTTCCGGGCTTTGACGTACAAGTATGTTTCTAGCAAAGATTCTTAATCCGTGCGCTTCTCGATTATATGGGTATATCGCTCTGGGCGATCTGAAATACTAACTTGCTGTAAGCCCAGTTTGCCACAACACTTTGCCTCTTTTTAAACGTCTGCCTTCAGCTAGAATATCCTAAGCCTACGTACACGGCTTTAGTACTTATTCATTATTAATATATAAGTTATAAGAGAAGTGCTAATTTACCGATTATTCATTTTACAGAAAAAATTACGATTTTACGTAGCTCATAAATCGGCTAATTTAAAGATTTTTTCACTATCAAGCTTGTGAGTATACTGAGCGATGACTGTAGCAGCCTGATGCTTTGTTCACTACATGCTATGAAGATCAACTTAAAAATTAGACTAAGATTGGACATAAAATTAAAAAGCACATTTAAGAAGCACACAGACTTCTCATTCTAGCATTTTATTCGGCCGCCCGACGTTTCGAAAGATTTGCTTGTGTATAAAGCAGATATGCAATTGATTGATTGATTAGGAGCACAATAAATATGTAGACTTCCAAGTGCACTTGGACGCAGCTGCATGTAAAGGAATGGATACATGATATCAAGAAGGATAGAGTGATCATAAGACCAAGTGTATCAAGTATCGACACAAGCGACAAGGCAATCTAAAGACAGGTGAATGTTACTCGATAAGATCATTTAAGAATGATCGCGATGGTGTGGAAATCTCCGAATATTTCCCCGACCACCCAATCATAAACATAAATAAGGTTGACATAACCCAATCCATCAAGAAGAGTGCAACCCTCCTGGCTGATGGGTACATAAGGTGAGGAAGGAGAACATCAACACAAATTCGAAGTTTCCTTTCCATTGGTCGGTCGCATGGGCGCCAGTGGAGAGTCTCAATATCATCAGCAATTTTGCGAATCCCTTTTCACTCACATCGACTTCAAAGAAGAAGGAAGTAATCGTGATAATTATTTTACTGACAAGAAAGGTGCATCTGCTTTATGCCTAGCGAGTTTATTAGTGGCAGAGATAACGATTTAATAGAGGTATCTGAAAATTTGGCCTCCACTATCATACTCAAAAGTATTTGCACCTTAATTTTGTCAATACAGTTTCTTCGGCAATACTTTTTCTCGGTGAGAAAGAGGCTTGCTCAAAGTGGACCACCTTTTGTCAGCAAGTATAAATTCATCTGCTAACTAGCTGTGGTTATCTATAGTGTACTGTGAGTGCATAGCAGATACGTCCTTCAGATCATCAGCCCGGCCGTTAATAGACTGAGGCTTCCCCGTAAGTAAGAGAATGATTACAATAATTTTCTGCTTCTAAAAGCTGATGTGATTGGCCTCGGCATCAAACTTGGTGACCTCACCGGTGATAAGTGGAAGTATTTTATATAGGTTTAGAGATTCCTTCTATCAATCACAGATTTACTAGTAAAAGCAAGCTTTTATTTTTCAAACCGAACAAACTGCTTAAAATATGCAAAAGGCTATCTGTATGTGTGGTGGAGGGGAGCTCGCTGAATTTTTGATGTGATCTAACCTCTCTACTGGCGGCCGGACGACAGAATAAGTAAAAGCATATTCCGATTCCACGTAGATGTTTTCCGACCTCACCTTATGTACTAGTCGGTCGTGAAGATTGCAACTTTCTTGTTGAACTTGAATCGATGTCGAACTTGACCCTGTTTGGGGTCAAGGTAGATCACGTGTAATATTCACTTGATAGACGTTTTCTGTGGGGACTCTATTCGATTTGCTTAAACCTTCCGTGAAAACGCCTTGTCGTTAATTCGTCCTTGATTCTAGCCTTCTGACCACTTGAGCCGTCTCGTGATCTGGTTTATAAACTTGATTGTAGGCTTCTGACTACTTGATCCGTCTCGAGATCCAGTATGTAAACCGCTAGGGTTTGCTGCATCCAATCACAACTGGAGAGAAGAGAGGGTCTTCGCCTGGCCAAATAAACCCAGGAGCGATCTTCTATACTGAAGTGGTTAAAAGTCTCTGAGTTGAAAAGATAAACTATTCGAACCGGGCAAAAGACTACACGTGTGCACTTCAAAGTAAATTGAAATGTGTGCATTGTAAACCGACCAAAGACTAAAATTAATGATTATCTGACTCCGTATGTCAGGATTGACCACGAGGATCGTTATCATGTCGTATTCCATGCTACCTTACCATATCAGGTGGGCCACACCACTGACTGATTGCGGTACAAGACACGATTCTCGAGAGCGGTGTGAAATTGAGTACTTGTCTGCACCTCTAGATCGTGGTCCTCGATTGCTATTTGTGGTCGCAATGTGCGATTACGATTAAAGCTTTACACCAGATAAATCTATTATGAATTTACATTTTTTGGCGGTCTCGATCTCGGATAGCAGGTTCAAGCAATCGCTGATACCGCCTTTCATAGTAGCTGATGCAGTGTCTCTCCTTCCAATAGCATCCTTTATTCCGCTTGTCATATAGTGTATCCCGTGTGATAAGCGCTGATTTACGTCCCTTATTTATTCTTGCCCCAATTATGATACGAATTGCATCTAAGTACGAATTACGTCTTATTCAGCAATAGCGATCTTGTCCAGAATATTTCTGGGCGACTTTTGTATCACTATCATCAAATAGAATTCGCGCGGACAAAATTCTTTGTGTTAGGAGACCACCAGTGACGAAAGTCACCAACCTTAACCTAAGTCAAAATGCCCTCAGTTTAAACCCGT